GTGTTTTTTTTTTTTTTTTTTTTTCTTTTGCCGTCTCTTTAGGGGGCCAGGACTTCATGTTCTTTACCTCATTTATCCCTTAACCTATAAGCAAATCTTGCTTTACATTTTCCTCTTTACTCCTTCCCTACACCACATCAAGGGGAACCAGTTCAATACGGCAGTACATATATGTAAGGTGGCGCACGCAGCCATATGAGAGGAATATATTGAATAGCATGTACAAAACAGTACTTTATATGTACTCTGGTGTTGCGCACCAAGAGATATGTAGATATCCAACCAATGCACAGCCATTCAGATCGCTAAATGGACAAGAATTGGTGGAGTAACAGTGGCTGCCAGTAGCACCATAGGACAAAGTTCCTCATGGCATGGAATAGGATGAGAGAGACAAAGACAATTCGTGCATCACCAGCCGAAAGAATAAGAGGTTCCCATAATCCCCATGCGCTCCAGTCCAAGTTGCGCAAAAAAAAAAAGATAAATTACACACATCAAGTCATAAACATGGAAAAATAAAACTCCAGCCAACATTCCAGATGTGGCTCCGGCATGAAGATAATTTGCAGATTAGTCAAATCGTGAAGGGGTATGGAAAGGATAGCAGTCAGAGATCTATCATGTGGTACCAGCTTCGACTTGACGAGGTGTACGTCTTTCCGAAGGCAGCGGATCCACAGGGGAGCTCCCAACTGCAGCTGGTCTTCTTGACGAGGGAAAATGGAAGGAAATCTGGCGGAGGCGAGTAGGAACGAATCGAGACCAGGTGGGTTGACCTGAAGAATCCGAGGCATGGGCTGGGTCCCAAGGCTGATCATGCCCACCCCGCACATGCTGTTCTCGGGTTGGAGATATGTCTCTTTCCTCTGGAGACGTCGATTGAAATATTCGGCTAGGCAAGCCCATCTGGGCCCGGAATCCATTTGCCCTGCCACCGCTCCAAGCAACTCGAGGAGGTCTGAGAATTGCATCCGGGTGGGTCGAGGCTGTACGACCACCCTGGCGATCCGCGACAGACTGTGCTTCGGTCTGTGCGCGGGGCTTGGGGACATAGTAATCGGCTTTGCACAGAGGGCAACATGCCCTTCTGCTAGTCAGCCAGGGGTCGACGCACGAGGCATGGAAAGCATGTCCACATGCAAGTCCCCGGATATCATCGTCATCCTCAATGATATCCAGGCAAATCGCGCAAGAATCGCCAGGGTTGGGTAGAAGATCAGCCGGAACAGCGTTACGAATGCAGGCATCACCATCATGGTCCTCGAGATCAATGTTCATGTTTTCATGCTGCCATTTCTCTTTCTGGATACCTGCACCAACTGATTGCTGAGTAGAAGGCATCCCAGATACTGTAGGGCCCTTCTCTTCCGAAGTCTGCACTGGAGGGCCATCTTGCAGCTCTTGAATTGGGGTTTGTGATGTATCATTGGAATCCACCCGTCCATGGCGCTTGATGGATGGTGATATTGTAGCTGTGTGAACCCCAACCGCTGTTGTCACGACATCACTGTCATCTTTTAGGCTCTGTGGTCTGCTACTCGGAGCTGTGATACCTCCTTCCGTTGAGAGACCCTGGTTGGCACGAGATGATCTCCACACTTTATACTTGACGAGTGGAAATCGCCCGTTCACTTCATCCATCGTCATTAGCCTTTTCTCCCTTCTCCTGCGATGAGGTCGTGGCATGGTGACCAAGTCTATGGGCTCTCCTACTTCCTCGCTGCGGAGCTGACGGTTTCGTTGGTTATATCGAAAGCAGTATTTGACTCCCACAATGATCCTGCGATGACCGTTAGATACCATCTCTGAAACGCTTGTCTGCTGGCCTGGACAGAGGGAATATGAAGCGAAATACCATAGATTTGTGAATACGACACCAAAGCCAAGAGCGACGAAGAACAATAAAGGTGAGCTTGTAGCATTATTCGAACCCGACCCCTCTCCGCCGCTACTTGCAGTAGTGGTGGCAGCACTGCTAGAGGCTGATGTTGCAGACATTCCGACTAAAAATTAGATATGAAAATGACCGCCGCGTCGCTCGATTATTGTTGGAGTCTCAGTTGCCCCAAGGTCGATCCTTCATTTGAGTTGTGTGTACAGGGCAACCCTGTATGGGAACTTCGGGCTAGAGTCCTGCGGATTAAGTCCAAGGCGACGAGAAGGTGGATAGGAACGATCCAAGGGCATGTACCCCATGCGACAACTGTTTGGAGATTAAACTAGGTGGCTCTGTCATAGATCGTAAGCAGAACACACAGAACTTCCTGCGAAGAGAAGGTGAATGCTGAGGGTCGATCTCATATCATTATAGCAAGAGTAGAGGAAACCTGTGGAGAGAGGAACAGAGAGAGAGGTATAGAGAGAGAAATAGAAAGAGAGAAAGAGAGAGGGAGAGATAGAAGGGAAGTGGAGATCAGGGCAAGAGGCCAGGCTCCTGGTTGATTTAAGGATTGTGGATGGAGACTGACAGCCTGAGGCCGTGAATCACGGGACCGATAAAGTCTCAGGCAGTTAAAGGACTTTCTGAATACATTTGAGCACGGGATGAGCTATTTACCCCCTTTCCTTTTTCCCTTCTATTTATCGGGAATAAATTGTAGTGTATTGCATATTATTGCTTACGTAGCCACCTTTAAAGGTACATATGTATGTACATATAATGGTTGCAGCAACCACAGGAGACTTCAACTATCTGGTACTGTAAATACACGTTTAGCCCGTTATGATATGTATGTAATATTCAGTAACACTAGCAATTTGTAGACAATGGCGTCAAGTACATTGTGATTTATGAATTCTGTATGACTCAGTCCCTAATGATGCTTAATTTCCTTATGAATTGATACTAAATTGTAGCTATGTAAGAGAGTTGACGTAGATATATCCCAGGAAAAGGTGGTCAATATAAAGTTCTTTCATGGCCGCTAATCCCCCGTACCTCCCGAAACCCCTGGTGCACACTGCGAGGCACACCAGAGGTCTATCCAAATGCAGACTTCCCTCTTCATCACATCTGCACCACCCCCCAGTTTCACTATGGCGGAACCTAATCCAGTGGTTTTCTTTGATATTGCCCTTGGAGGTAAGTTTGACTATTTGCATGTGATGGCCTAGGCATCTGAGTAGTCTAACATGACGACTCTGCTAATATAATCACAGGCGAGTCTCTAGGTCGAGTGAAAATGGAATTGTTCGCCAATATCACCCCACGAACTGCGGAGAATTTCCGCCAATTTTGTACTGGCGAGAGCAAGAACCCCAAGGGACAGCCCCAGGGCTACAAGGGAAGCAAATTTCATCGCGTGGTAAGTGATGAAGCTCGTCGGATATAGATGCGGAATTAATGCTCGCTGTAGGTCAAAGGTTTCATGATCCAGGGTGGAGATTTCATCAATGGCGATGGGACTGGATCACGTACCATCTACGGCACCTCGAAATTTGCCGATGAAAATTTTACTCTCGGACATGACCGTGCCGGTTTATTAAGTATGGCTGTAAGTCTGAACACCTCGAGACTAGCTGTCTACCTACATGAGTACAAAGGACCTTTCATTAACAACGCAGAATTCGGGCCCAAACACCAATGGTTGCCAGTTCTTTATAACAGCCACGCCCTCACCATCCTTGAACGGCAAACATGTGGTCTTCGGCCAGGTGATTGATGGGATGGATATTGTCAAAATGATTGAACACACCCGTACTACTAACGAGAAGCCCAACCAAGATGTAACGATTGTGCAATCTGGGGAGATGTAATAATAATTACACAAATGGAATGATATCTGGGAAACAGCCACGTCCTACCAATCTATAGCTCCTAGAATTGCAGGGAAAGTGTTTGAATTATAGAAATATATCAATTTCATACGGCTTTAGTAGCCAGGAGTTGTTTTGGATATTTCATAGTGATCTGCACGGACATGATATCTCCCAACCCAAAAAAGAAGACTTCACAGAATCTTGTCCTCAGGTCTAGAGCTTGAACTTATTCAGATAATCCGCAGCTAGTGAGATAGCCTCCTCGACCTTGTCAGCGTTGGTACCGTTACCAATGGAAGTAGGCCCCTTTCCTCCTGCTTTTCCTCCCACAGCGCCAGAGACGACGGCTGACCAGTCGCTTGCCGAAGCACCTTGGTCACTCAGTCCCTGTGTCCAAATCAGTATAAGAATCCATCAGTAGTAATGTTTCATCATTTGCTTTCCCAAACGCAAGAACGGTAAGACTGATGTATCCTGTTACTTACCTGAGAGATGTAACATCCGTGTGAAACCCGACCTTGTTTAAAGTCGGCCGCCAAGAGATAGACACTTTTACCCTGCATTTTTGATTTGACATGATTGAGAGATTCACTGACAGCCTTGGCATTAGCAGAAATCGGAAGCTGGACCACAAGCCACGACTTGTCTTGATTTTCGGGCGCCTCGAAGTACGAGGTGATAGTCTCTACTGCTTTCTTCGATTCCAGTTTTTGCTGGGCCTTTTGGCCATCGAGGACCTGCTTGTTGATCTTGGCGAAGCGTTCGCGGAACTTCGCCTTTTGGACGGCGGAGATTGCAAGCTGGTTGAGATCCACCTGGACTTGCTTAGCCTCCTGTTCCTTTTCGGAGCCCAAAGGCAATGCATTCAGCCGATCAAGACGCTGCCCGAATTCCTCGGCAACTCTCTGCACCTCGTGCGCATCCTCTCCAGTGACGGCAATAATTCGGCGAACTCCCTTGGCAATGCCATTCTCCTCCAGGATGATCAAGTCCTTGATATCGCCTGTCTTCTGCACATGAGTTCCACCACAAAACTCAATGCTGACTTCCTGCCAACGGGGATCTTTGACATTCTTCAGGATTTCCTCCAATTCCACACCGACAGAGACAACACGAACAGGATCGGGGTAAGTCTCGCCGAATACGGCCCTAACGCCGGAGATTTGCTGGGCAGTGGCAAGCGGAAGTTCTTGGGAGTAAACAGCACAGTTCTGTCGGATATAATCAGTCGCCTTGGCTTCGATCTTCTCGAGCTCGGCATCAGAGATTGCGCTCTTGTGGGAGAAGTCAAATCGCAGCTTCTCGGCGGCCACCAGGGAACCCTTCTGGTCGACACCATCGCCTAGAATTTCCTTCAGAGCGAAATTCAGGATATGGGTTCCGGTATGGTTATTCCGGATGGGCCAGCGTCGGAGCTCATCGTACTCGCAAATGACAGAATTGCCGACAGTAAATGATCCGTATTTCATGAAGCCGGTGTGTAGAACGTATCCGGCGTAAGACTGTACATCGCCAACTTCAAGCTCTGCTTGTCCGTCAATGATGATCTTGCCTGTATCATTTTCCTGGCCACCCTGTTCGGCATAAAAGTTCGTACAGTCGAGAATTATGCCAAGCTGTGCGCCCTCGGGGACATCATCAGTGCTATTGTGGAAAGTCTTCCCGTGGTAGATAGCCTTGACGTGGGCGGTGATGTTACCTCGGCCAAATTTAGGCGAATCATCCGTCTTTTGCACGTCGCTCATTTTCTCCAGCTTGCCTAGGTCATGGACATTAAGCTTGACTGTGTTCTCAGCAGCCTTCTTTTGACCCTTGCTGGCTTCCTTCGCCTTCAAGCGAGCCTCTTCAAATTCGACATCATCAATGCGGAGACCACGTTCCTCGGCCATGATTCGAGTCAGGTCAACGGGGAAGCCAAAGGTGTCGTACAGTCTCCACACATCGGCACCATGGAGCATATCGGTGCCCTTGACCTTAGCCTGTTGGGCGTATTGCTCAAATTGCCGCTCACCTCTATCCAAGGTCTTGGCAAATGACAACTCTTCCTCGTCCAAGATTTCTATAACATCTTGCTGCTTGCGCTTGAGTTCAGGGAACATGTCACCCAATTGATCCACAACAGTCGGCACTAGCTTAGCGAAGAAATTCCCAATATCGACCTGGAAATATTTGCGGGCATACCGAGCTCCTCGGCGTAGGACACGGCGAATCACATAGCCACGGCCCTCGTTGTTGGGAATGACGCCGTCCGAGATAGCGAACATCAAAGTCCGCACGTGGTCTGCCACAACACGGTAGGCTGTGTCAATTCCGTCGGCATCATCGGCGCCAAAGTGGCCGCGGTATTCCCGGGCCCCAGTGGTATTCTGGATAGCCTGGAAGATCGGAGTGAAGACATCGGTATCGTAGTTGGAAGACTTGTTCTGGAGAATTGACACCAGTCTTTCAAAGCCCATTCCGGTGTCAACGTGTTTGTTGGGGAGGGATCTCAAGGAGCTATCCGGCTCGCGGTTATATTGGATGAAAACGTTGTTCCAGATTTCAAGCACATTTGGATCGTCTTCATTGACGAGATGAGCAGCGTTGCGTCCACCGATCCGATCATAGTGCACTTCACTACAAGGTCCACATGGTCCTTGGTCACCCATTTCCCAGAAGTTGTCTTTCATATCTCCAGGAAGAATGTGAGATTCAGGAACGCCCACTGATTTCCATAGTTCTTTGGCTTCCAGATCCGGTTCCAGTCCACCGGCTTCATTGCCCTCGAAGTAAGTAACGTAGAGGCGATCGGGATCTAGCCCGTAGACTTCCGTCAACAGGGTCCACGAATAAGTAATGGCTTCTTTCTTGAAGTAGTCGCCAAAACTCCAGTTGCCGAGCATCTCAAAGAAGGTCTAGAGATTTCGTCAGCACTTCTTCTGCTCAATGATAGAAAGGGGTTTCCAATGCTGACATGGTGATAGCTATCCTTGCCAACATCATCCAGATCCTGTGTCAGGCCAGTCAGTATACCAAAGCCCCTCTAAGACCCCTCTAGGGTTTTCCAAGGCACACCCACGTTATGTTTTCCACCGGCACGGAGGCACTATGCAGTCTTATTAGCAATATTCCCAAGTCGGATATTTTGGGGAAGTGGAATATCCAATACCTTTTGCGAGTTCGTTGCGCGCTTCATCTTTCCAAAGTCCGACGAGGCGTCAACGGTGCCCAGGAAGATGGACTTGAACTGGTTCATTCCCGCATTGGTGAAAAGAAGAGTCGGATCCGATAGAGGAGCGACGGGGGAAGAAGGGACTGTATACAAGAATAGCTTCAGGTCAGTCAATGTTGTTGGCGGGGGTGGAGGGGTAGGCCAAAAAAAAAAGAATGGGCTCAACGCACCGAATGTATGGCCATTTTGTTTAAAATAATCTAAAAAGGTATCTCGGACTCGCTGAGAAGTCCACTCTGAGCCGAGAGAAGCCATCCTGTCGAATGTGGGAGGGTTGGTTGACAGGGAGCGAACAAAGCAAGAGGAGAATGTTCTGGGTTGATTTCTGCGAAAGAGATGAGTCAAAGCCCGTTCCCCGTTCGTCACCACCCCAGAAACCCGCATCGAGCAACGAAATAGACTTGACTCCAGATCCGTGCACTCAAGAGTTCATCCACCTTTTCCACTTCTCCCTTTATTATCCCACACTTCCAAATACGAGAGAGAGAGAGAGAAAGAGAGGGAGATAGAAAGTGTGGATGGCGGGTGAGGAAGGTCACGGGAAGAAGCGTCCGGCCGAAGCTGACCCCGATGGCGCGCAACCGTTAACGAAGAGATTTGGACACCTGCGAATAGGTAGGCAATTGAGCTTTGAAGCTGTGGAAGTTGTCAAGTTAACATATTTGTAGATAATAGCGTGCCAATCTCCGCTCGGGCCAAACCCAAGGGGCATATCCAGCTTATCCAGCGTAACCAACACCATGACCACATTGACCACATTGACCATCACCAACGTAACCAAGAGCTTTCTTTCCCAAACGATGCAATGATCTTGGATGACACCAAGCACACGACTTACATTTACAACCTGGATCAAGAATTAATGGAAGCCGACTCTCCTGGTTTGGTGTTTTCACCATTCGCGGAGAAAGTGCTCTCAGTCCCTCAATCCGTTCTATCCGACCCGAAACCCTCAGGTAAAGAACTCGTTCTTTATACGGAACCATCTTCCCTCACGGTTCCTAGGGAAAAAGATAATGTTCGAAAGGCAATTCTTGAATCTCGAGCACGAGCTAGAGAGAACAAGACTACGGTGGAAGATTTATACGATGATCCAATGGATATTGACGGTTGAAGTATGACGGAGTACACAATATGGGTAATTAGCATAGCGAATTGTATAATTTTGTACCTATTAGACATCTAAACGTGGCAAATGTACCTTGTAGTAGATGATAGTACACAGTTAATAGAGTACTTTGACATATACATGCATATGTAATATACAATACACGTGTATTGAGAATAACCGGAACCACGTGACTCACCGCTTCCGAAAAATTTTCTGGTTTTTTTTGTGGCTCCGACTAAATATGCACTTTGATAAAAAAAATTTCCTCTCTCCCCCACCATCCCTCTTCCCATCCCTCCCTCAAAATCACATCTAAAATTTCATAATGGCCGATTCTGAGGTTTACGACGGTGCCGTCGGCATCGATCTTGGTGCGTTTTTTTCTCTACTAAATTCGATCGCACAGCTGCTAATTGCCATTCTTACTTTGTAGGCACTACCTACTCTTGTGTTGCCAACTACGAGGGCACCAATGTCGAGATCAGTACGCTTTCCCCCAAAAATTCGATCTTTCTCTCAAATACTGACTGTTTGATCAGTTGCCAACGACCAGGGTAGCTACACTACCCCCTCCTTCGTCTCTTTCACCGACAAGGAGCGTCTGATTGGCGATGCCGCCAAGAACCAGGCCGCCATGAACCCTGCCAACACCGTCTTCGATATCAAGTGAGTTGGGAAAAGAAATTCTTGCGCAGCCTATAAATTCGAGATATGGGCATTCTCCACAATTCCAAACTAGTTCTGACTCAAGTGGAACAGGCGTCTGATCGGTCGCCGCTACGAGGACCCTATCGTCAAGAAGGATGTTGAGTCCTGGCCCTTCAAGGTCATCGACCAGGGTGGCAACCCCGTTGTCCAGGTTGAGTACCTTAACGAGACCAAGGTCTTCTCTCCCCAGGAGATCTCCTCCATGGTCCTCATGAAGGTATGGCGAAATTTATATGTTATTTGTGGGATTTGTTTTGCTGACTAGTTGGGACAGATGAAAGAGGTCGCTGAGATCAAGCTCGGCAAGAAGGTTGAGAAGGCTGTCATCACCGTGCCCGCTTACTTCAACGACAACCAGCGTCAGGCCACCAAGGATGCCGGTGCCATCGCTGGCCTGAACGTTCTCCGTATTATTAACGAGCCTACTGCTGCCGCTATCGCCTACGGTCTCGGCGCCGGCAAGTCTGAGAAGGAGCGAAACGTCCTCATCTACGATCTCGGTGGTGGTACCTTCGATGTGTCCCTGCTGAACATCCAGGGTGGTGTCTTCACTGTCAAGGCCACCGCTGGTGACACTCACCTTGGTGGTCAGGATTTCGACACCAACCTCCTTGAGCACTTCAAGAAGGAGTTCCAGCGTAAGACTGGCAAGGATCTCTCCGGTGATGCTCGTGCTCTCCGTCGTCTCCGCACTGCTTGCGAGCGTGCTAAGCGTACCCTGTCCAACGCTACCCAGACCACCGTCGAGATTGACTCTCTCTTCGACGGTGAGGACCTCAACTCCTCCATCACCCGTGCCCGTTTCGAGGACCTTAACGCCAAGGCTTTCTCTGGCACCCTCGACCCCGTCCAGCAGGTCCTCAAGGACTCAGGCATCCCTAAGAACAAGGTCGACGAGATCGTCCTTGTTGGTGGCTCCACCCGTATTCCTCGTATCCAGAAGCTCCTGAGCGACTTCTTCGATGGCAAGAAGCTCGAGAAGGTAAGAAAGACTGCACTATTTGATCTAATGTCAAGCCTAGTTACTTACATTTGTTTTTTTCTTTTTACAGAGCATCAACCCCGATGAGGCTGTTGCCTACGGTGCTGCCGTTCAGGCCGGTATCCTCTCCGGCAAGGCCACCTCTGCTGAGACAGCTGACCTGCTCCTTCTTGACGTTGTTCCTCTTTCCCTTGGTGTTGCCATGGAGGGCAACATCTTCGCCCCCGTTGTTAACCGTGGCCAGACCGTCCCTACTATCAAGAAGCGCACCTTCACCACTGTTGTTGACAACCAGAGCACTGTCCAGTTCCCCGTCTACCAGGGTGAGCGTACCAACTGTGCTGACAACACCTCCCTGGGAGAGTTCACTCTTGCTCCCCTTCCTCCCATGCGCGCCGGTGAGGCCGCTCTCGAGTGTGTCTTCGAGGTGGACGTCAACGGTATCCTGAAGGTCACCGCCACTGAGAAGACCTCCGGCCGCACTGCCAACATCACCATCTCCAACGCTGTTGGCAAGCTTTCCAGCGCTGAGATCGACCAGATGGTTGACGGTATGTTTCTGCTGTTGATTGTATTCTTTTTGACTATATGCTGACTTGACTATTTGTAGATGCTGCCAAGTTCAAGACCAGCGACGAGGCTTTCACCAAGCGCTTCGAGTCTCGCCAGCAGCTTGAGTCTTACATCTCCCGTGTCGAGGAGATTGTTTCCGACCCTGGCATGTCCATGAAGCTCAAGCGCGGCAACAAGGAGCGCATTGAGTCCGCTCTCAGCGACGCCATGGCCCAGCTCGAGGTTGAGGACTCCACCCCCGAGGACCTCAAGAAGAAGGAGCTTGCTCTCAAGCGTCTGATCACCAAGGCCATGTCCACACGGTAAATGCATACATGGGAAGACATGAACATAGACTTATGGCCAACGAATTTTCCTTTTTCCCGGGACTGCTTCTCAGGGAATCTGCACCATGTAGACCTTGGGCAGAGTTGGTCTCTGTCACGCTTTGTTTATGAAGCCGGGCAACTTGGGCGCAGTTTTCTTTTCTTGAAAAGTATGATTTGTTTTGTTTTTTTGTAGACGAAGTTCGCCATCTGCAATTTAATGACATTGTGATGATCTCCTCGTAATAATTGGAATACTTGATAGTTCTACATGGTAATATTGGGTGTGATTTCTTTTGGCGAGGCGGAAGGGCGGGTAACGTGAGATACCTTCTGAGCTGTCCACCTCCGCTCCAACTTTCTACACCAATCACTTCCACCATGCAACGCATTATAACCCAATCAATTCGCTCCTCTTGTCCTCGTCTTGCTGCAAGCCATCAAGGGACTCAAGTATTTCGATCTTCATGTCTCCTACCCCAACCCCAGCGGGCCGTTCCTCTGAACGTGCGTGAGTTTGCCAATTCGCCTGCCCTATACAAGAAAAAGGACAAGGCCAAAAAAGCTTCTGCTTCTGCTTCCGAGCCAGAGGAAAGCTCTAGTACTCCTTCCGAAGATCCCTTTGATCTTTCCCAATTACACAATGGCATTTCCACAGCTGTTGCTCGGCTAAAAGATGATCTGTCCAAGCTTCGCGCAGGAGGGCGTTTCAATACCGCAGTCCTAGAAAGTTTAAGGGTCCAGCTGAGCAAAGATAGCAAAGATTCGGTCAAATTGGGGGATCTGGCGCAGGTTGTGCCCAAGGGAGGACGCATGATTACCCTTTTGGCGGCCGAAGAGGATGTAAGTTCATGATACTCGACCGCCCTGAATTTTCTTCTTCTTGTCGGGGGCGCGAGCCTGCTATTGCTATACCAACGAAAAGCCAACACTAATACATTTTGAGCAGCACTTGAAACCTCTTACCTCAGCGATTGTCTCCTCAAACCTCTCCTTGACGCCTCAGCCTGATCCTCACAACGCCCTCCAGCTCAACATTCCTATCCCACCACCTACAAAAGAATCCCGGGATAAGAACGTCCAAGCTGCCAAGCAAGCGTTCGAAAAGGCTGCCGGCGTAGTACGTGACTCTAGGGGTGCTATGCATAAGCGTCTCCAGGATATGCAGAAGAAGAAACTAGCTCGGCCAGATGACGTGCGCAAAGCCCACGATCAGATGGAGAAGGTTACGGAACAGGGCCAAAAGGAGGTGAAGGATGCATTTGATGGGGCCAAGAAGACATTGGAACAGGCATAAGAAGCCCAATTGGCAAAACAAGGAAGGTTATGAAAAAATTATAGCCTACGGCAATGGGCGTTCGTAAAATAAAAATTTGTAAATCTACACCATAGGTACAGGCATCGGCATAATTGTGGAAGATATGAGAACATAGGAAAATGAACCCGGTCGACGAAACAAATATAATACAAATATCACTCTCTAGCACTTATTTCACATATCCTTAGACGCTCTTCGTCTTGCGGCCAGCAGAGACAAGAGATTCAATCTTGGCCATGAACTGTGAGGTCTTCCCGGTTGTCTGGTAGGTCCCGTTGTTCCTGAGGTTCTTCGACACCTCTCCCAATACGGCATGTGAATCTTTCCCAACTTCAGACGCGGGGTATTTCCCCTGAACAAACGTTTCCATGAGAGACTTGGTGTTGCCTGCGTCAATGGGACTAAACTCGACGTTCCGAGGCTCCACAAGGTCACCCTTGCGCTGTGAAATTCGATCGGCACGAAGCTGAGCCAATCGTTTGGTCTTTTCCAAAGCCTCGGCCTTATCATTCTCGTTGTGGAACAGGACGCTTTGGCCCTTCCATAGGCGCCTTCCGAGCTCATATGGCGGGATATAGCCATTGGCAAAGCGGCCGCTCAGGCTGGAAAGCTTTTCATATACAGCAGCCGAGCGCGAGTTCACGTCTGTGGGGATTGAAGGCCAGGTCTCTTTCAAAGTATAGAAGTTGATCTCCTGGGGTTCATAGCGGATAGGGGTTGGCCGGGATTTGATGATTTGCTCTTGCAGAACTTGGTCGATGGCCGCCGCTTCGGCATCTTCGCCCTCGTCATTCTCGGAAGATCTTGCGTTCCTGCGCGGGCCATTTCGGTTACCTTTCGCGGCTTTGGCTTTGGCGGAGGATTTTGGTTTGCGGTTTGGAGGTTGGTTGCCGCCCCGAACGTTGCGCGATCTCGGGCTGCGGATAATCTTAGGTTGCTCTCCACCGCTAGCTCGTGCCGCCGCAAAAGATCTAGCGTCAATCATTCGAGGAGGACGAGTTTGAGGCTGGTTGGTGCGAGCTGGCGGCCCATTGGGATTGCGAGGTGGGTGGGAGGGTGTGGCCGATGAAGGGCGGATATTGGGTTTACGGTCGTCTAATGCGCGCACGTTAGAAACCAAACTCAAAATGGGCCAAATGTTTGAGGCGCAGTTGTACAACTGCACTTTATCTTGCTCAATGCCTGCTTCCCTTTGATGTACTTACCGGATTGCTGGTTTCGATCTTCGGCCACTGTATGAGTGCAGGAGAACTGGCGAGCAGATGTAGAAAGACCAAATTTTGCCCGTTCACGGCGCAGCGCTATCTGCCTGAGCTGTGGCCGAAACATATTGCAGTCTGAATGAACCAGGTCGTATGCCTAGAACGTTTGGCAAAGAGACTTGATACTGTTCGACGCGGAAAGATTGAATGAAGAATTGCAGTCACGTGAGGCACCGCCTTCCTCTGGGCACCCAAGTAAACACCGTCAAGTCTTCCTTTGATTCATTGCAATACCTTTTGACTGCCAAAATGCTTCGTCGAAAGCCAACAGCTATTGCTATCACATCCGAGGATATTGCTGCATTTGAAGAAGCCAGACTTCGCAAACTGTCTGAAGAAAACAAACACCCAGAACAACTCGCACAGGGGACCTGCAATGTCAACCTTGACCCCAGCGATGAGTTGAAACCACTTCCAGGTGACAAGGCAAGGATTGTCCGGACCCGTGAAGAAAGAATCGGCATTAGTCGACGTGGTTGACTTGTCTACACCGCGATCTTGAGCCCCTCGACCACTGTTGCATGTTGGAATGACTTGTCCCACGCCACGACACTTGGATATGAGGTACATAACCCGATCACGACTGCTTGCATGTATTTCTTGACTCTTGAACCACTTGAATTTCTCTTTGGCTCGCATTATTCGCCATTAACAAGAATAAATAGTGCAGGATCTTTTGGCGTCGAAAACATAACACCCGTCCCATGCATCACACACCATCTTCCTCGTATGACAACATATGACGGCGAGTGATCGGACAATCATAGAGCGTGGTGTTTGCTAAGCACCAGATGATCATGACATCCATAGGGCATGGGTTTCCCTCTGCCGATATCTACCGATATCCCAGCATATCTCACCATTTCCCCTATGGTGACCCATTGGCTAGGGCATTGATGCAACAATAGAGAAGCGAAATGACAGATTGGAAGCTCTTCTCGACGACTTCAAACAATGCATACTACTGTGTTCATCTACGTCACATCTATTGGGCGTCTTGACAAGAACTGATGCTCTAAGTGACCTCTCTCTGGCTTATTCCGGGATTTATTTGTTGTGATCAGACTCTGTAGCTTGAAAAATAGACACCAAGCAATAAAGATACTGGACGAGCAAGGACAATCTGAGAACCCCTCCAGTATAAAACAAGTGCTATGTTGCAACTGCTCCATACCGACGTGCCTAATCTGAATAGTGCCTTTTCCAAGACAATTGATTCTTTTCCAAATTCAGTCTACCAAAGAGACCGATTAAAGCAAGCTTTTGATGTACAGCAGGATTCTTGCATCAACTATCATCCCGGCCGGTTAGATGTCATGCTGCTTGGATATCTCTATGTCAAACCTTTCCTCATTGAGCCATGCTTATGCCCCTGGTGCTCGTAACGTAAAAAGAAACAGAAAGATTTCACAAAAAAAAAAGAAAAGGGGGGGAAAGGAAAATGGAGGAAATAGGGAATATACAGTGACAATGGGAATGGTTGCCTGGGATAGTTAGACAAGGACCAGCAGGCCAAAAAAGAGGAAGAATTGGGCGATTGGATGGGAGAAACAAGGTCGCAGATGACTGGTATTTGTGCGTCTTATCCTCTTTGGCGCTTGGACATATTATTGTCGGGGCTAACATCAACTGGGTAATTCCATCGCCGTTTCAGCCCTTGTGGATCATACACACTAGCAACACTTTGCTGCCAGTCTCGTGCTGAAAACACAACTGGGGGTGCCTGGAACTGGGAAGGCGAGAGAGACTGGGTAGACGTGACAGAGGGCACTTTGTTGGGTGTCTCGTATTGGATGGGGTATTGGGGGTTCATAACATTTTGTACACCCGGTACTGAATTGGTTATAGGCATGGGCGGGGAGTTTGCGCTGACAGTAGAGGGGTTCACCGAGAAGGCCATGTCCCATTGACTAGAGAGAGCAAAAGATTAGTAAGAGAAGTAAAAGACCAAGCGAGACTCGAGTGTTGAGACAAGTGGACCATGTACGTACGTGATGATTCGGGTCGGGTCCCAGTGATTTTCATCGACCGAGGGGGGATCTAGAGGATGAGTTGTTGGAGGCTGATGGGCAACCATTCCGAGGGTTTGTATCTGAGAAGAGGTGTCGGACTTCGAGTCTTCAGCACCAGCCGAAATCGGAGGGGTTATCGGAAGCGGATTGTAACGCACTCTAGATTGGATTGGATTCAAGTGCGGATGGCAGTGCGCATCCACAGGTGGACTGGGATGGTAGGGTTCCGAGGGACTCCCGTATGGGAAACTGGGCTTCAACTCGAAAGGACGTTGCATGTCAGCGGAGAAAGCCAGTCTTAATGAATCGATCTGAGCTTGAATCTCAGGCATAGGCCAGGCAGTAGAGCAAGTCTCGAGTATCCTCATATGACGGGTAAAGAATTCACGGGCATCTGAATTGAATTCAGGGTCGGGGGACGTAATTGCAACCTGCTCGTATTAGCATACCTTTGCTACAAAAAAGAAAACTCCCGTAAATTGTTGAATGCTTACCAGGTGCAACATCGTACAAGTCAGGATACAATATATGGCAAAATTGATGCCTCTTTGCATGTAAAGTAGGCCAGATAGCCCGAACCTCTGCAGGATGGCTTCCTGTAGTCGACAGAGACTTTTTGCCGAGGAGTAGCACAGTGACATATGGATCTTCCATTCACCACCGGCTGCGAAAGATTGAGAAGCGAAAAGCTGAGGGCGATGTAACATAATAATGGCGAGGTGGCAATGAGAATGCATATTTCCCACAAAATGAGATGGAAGCCACGGTGGAGAGCCATCGGCAGGATAGTTGACCTGTAGGTCTGGAGGAAGGTTGCGAAGCCAGTCTGCGAAAAGCGGATTGTTTTGTACAAATCGGGCATCTGCGCCCCAGTCCTTTTGCTTCTTAACTTTGTGATAGATATCTGTAATGATGCGGATGTGATGTGCGTTGCGAACGAAATAGGCGTATTGTCTTGAACGGTCGATCTCATAATGATCGAGACCTCTGATATCAAGCGTCGGACGCATCTCCACTGTCTCAGGATCGACCCCGTAATCCGAACGGCCTACTTTGATCAGAAGCTGGTTGATTCTAATAAAGGATGCGACGGAAATAGACTTACCTTGGGGCCCACCGATCATCACCTCAACCACCATGAGAGCCTGCCACACTCTGGTGTACACCAAGCATTCAATTGGACCCAGTCCACACGGCTTCCCTTCAGCGTGATTGCTGTAATGCTCATGAATGTCCAAATCTTTCGCCATTGAGACAATAGTCTTGACAGTCTGCCAGGATCGATAGTAGTACCCTTTCTTTGGCAAAGATTCCCTTGCTTTTAGTAGCAGAAGTAGTGCTTGGATAGTACTCAGACGTGGTACATCCATAAAGCTAGTCTCGTGCCCTAGGAGATGTCAGCTTTTGAAGATGGTTGGACGAGCGTTCAGTATTGGCTTACTATTAGCCAAGGCAAGCCACTGAGCGCCTTCTGCAGGCTCATCAGATAAACGGCCCGCACAGGCAAAAAGGGCCTCGAGAAGAAGGGGAGAGATGGAATGGGGATCATGCTGCCATTGATAGTACAGATGGGCACGAGATATGACAGGGACATAGGGATGTATCTCATCAAAGTAGATCTTGAAATAAGCCATAACGTCGTCTTCGGCAGGCATGAGCTCAGGGGGAATTCGAATCGTCGCACCAGATCCGGTTCTGAGAGGTGGTAATTGCTCTTCAACGTCATCCTGGACAGGGGCGTCAGGCTCGATTCGATCGGTGCGTTGCCTTCTAATGTATGGGGCTATCGAAGGGGGTGGAGTGTTAGCCATTGAGTCGGGGGAAAATCCGTGGAAGGGCAATGTGCCATACCAATCCCACTCTCGTCAATCTTCAACTCCCCAAGTACATCACTGAGGTTTTCTGCAGTTGACTGATCGTTATCAACATACACATTCCGATCTGACGATCTCATAGACGGAGTTTGCGGCCCCGGAAACATTTGAGGCTGTTGATAAGTTTGGTGCGATATTGCCATTGGTGGTGACTGAAGATCGTTGTAGATGCTGGGTTGAGCTTGAGGAGGGACGAATTGGGAATACATGCTCATCTGATCATACGAGGGGATAGTGTTCATAGTTGGCTGACTGTTGTCCTTGAAGGGCGGGGCCACTGGAAATGTATGAGAACCTTCGGCTGCGCTGGAGCTGGAGGGTCCTCCGGTCTCTAGAGTAGACTCGCCATGGCCATCAGGGAGAAAGTCTCCATCTTGCCCGATGGTCGGAGGGACGCAGACCAGCTTTAGACGAGTGCATGCAGAACAAGGCCATGTATTTGTCGTAGCTGCGTCACACTTGATTTTCCTTTTTCGGCAACCATTACAGGCTCGCATCACTAAACGTCAGGCTTGTCAGTATTTGCTGACTTGTGATGGACACTTTTCATACCCTTCAGTCTCTTATGTCGGTTATGCTCATCAACGAATACATAGTCTACACCAATGAATGGTTAGTCGCCAATGCAAGCTGCAAGGACCAGATGGTGCTTAAGGGACATACTTTTCTGGCCTTCTCTCGGGGGACCCGCTGGGGGCGCAAACGAATAACCTTGCATGCTTGCCCGTTTGATAACAAGTGTCGGGTGTGTAAAATGGCGTAGACTGCGGCAGTTGGTGTAACTCGGACTACTGGTATTGGGACTATGAGGGTATCAAGAAAGAAGAAGAAAAAGACTGTGCAGACAGTTCTATCCACAAGGACCCGCCTCGGGAAATTGAAGGATGTTTGTCGGTGTGTGTGAGAGGACGCAGAGGTCGAATCTCGCTCTACGAGATGAGGATTCGTCGCGAGCGATCCAACTCCACCAAGAGGCGATGGGGCTGAACGAAGAGCAAAGGCAGGATCGTGGGATGCCGGAGTAGTCGAGGCCCGAGCGGGTTAGTCGGGCAGACCACAGTTATGGTTGCAACAAGCCCTAGATACGCCGTGTTCGATGACAGACTCCAGGTTGCCAAAGGCTGCGAAACCAACTTGCCGAGGCTCGGCGGAAATTGATGGGCAGAAGTCGCAAAAGTCCGGAGATGTGGAAGTGTTCGCAAGCTGCGGTTTGGAAGATTTGCGCTCTCGGCAAGCCGAATGCAGCGTATATCAAGTGCGTGAGGCTGGACCCAAAAAGAAGATCAGATTGACTTGGGACTCGAATGTATAAATAGTTGATGGCTGTTATGAGTACGGGGCGAATTAGCGTCGGTATCCCACACATATAATCCCAAACCAGACAACACAGGAGAACATTGAAGGTTCCCCAAAGGCAACTGCTTACAATTCGGACAAATAGAAGGGTCTCAGGCGCATTTCCATCGGTATCAATGTCACAATGTACTCCACATTTGAATCAACGAGCCTGGCGCATTGCAGCTCAATTGGGAGGGAATATGTGGAAGAAGCGCGGAGCATTAGGAAGAGCAGCCCAAGTTCACAAGTGGAGACA